ACTGGAATTCCAAGATAAATAATTATTCCTAGATCAAATAATACCCTGTTGAAGACATCCAGTGCATTGTAACTTATGTTTGTAAGTCTTACAGGTTTTTGTACAATATTTAAAAGAAGAAAAACTTATTTTCAAATTGACTTTCTGCATATGACAATAAATTGTGATTTTCAAATAATGTGGTAAATTTTGTTTTGTAAAGCTGTTATGAAAATAAAAGAACAACATGACATTTCTTTATAGGTTTTAATGGTGTACAAATAGGATCTCACGTTAATGACTGGAATTTGGATGCAGCAGAATTAAGGCCAATATTTGCAGTAAGTGATGTTTACTGATTGTGTTTTTACAACTCTAAACTTGTTCTTAATTGGTTCTGTATTATACTTACCTAAAATAATGTGCTTATTAAAGGAGAATGTGTTCTGATCAAATATCAAGTTTGTTGAGATTATGGTAAATGTTAGGTTCATATTGATTACCAACATAGATTTACCTCAAGTATTACCCGGGTGTTCTAATATTGCCATGGCCAGATGATGCAAGATGTGGAATCCCTGTACTGGAGTCTTGGGTGCTATACACTGCATATATGTAAACTTAAAGCAATATAAGCTGCATGTTGGACATCGGAAAATTTTGTTGCAAATTTATAATTAACAATTTCAATGACAGGAAAATAGAACATTTATGAACTTCTGTTGTTCATATTTGCGATGGAAGAACTTTTTATATGCTTTGATTGAAGCAAAATTACATTATTGTTGTCCTGTACAATAATAATTTCTTATATAATACTGTATATTCGATTGTACAGAAATATTTCTTCTAAAACATTTTTAAACTTTATTTTGCTCTTATTGGTCATAAGGGTTTGAATTACATACAAATTAATCATAATTACACATTTTAACAGCAAATTAAATTCTAAAAAATGCAGCTCATATTGCTTTAAACCAAATCACTGCATTGCTGGCATCAGATGATATTGAATTGCTTCCCCATAATCTGATTTTCTCAGTCTATGATGATATGCCCTGTAAATTAATTTTTTTGTCAGGCTGCTGAGAAGCATAATGTGTCCATCTTTGTCCACCCCTGGGATATGGACTTGAGTGGACGAATGAAGAAATATTGGCTTCCTTGGTTGGTAGGTCAGTAATTTATAATTAAAATGTAGGAATAAAGATATTTCAAGGAGCACACGGCGGGCATGACCAGTCAGCAGGGGATGCTCACTCCTCCATGGCACCTGATACCACCTCTGATGTTTTAAGGTCTGTGTTTGCTCTGCTCCTATTTTGTATGGTTTTATGGACTTTGATATTGAATACTGTTCCTTATCTCCATATCCTTCATTCTACTATGACATTGTATTTCAAATATTCTTTTCCTTTATTCAGCAAATATTAACAAATGTTGAGAGTAAGTCCCAATGTCATATAAGAAATACAGAATAGCAGAGGTTGCTTCGGAAGGAATAAATCCATACAGGAATACATTGTACATATTCCTTCTAAAATTTCTGTTGTCATTACAGGAATGCCCTCAGAGACTGCCACAGCTATCTGTTGTATGCTGATGGGAGGAGTCTTGGAGGAGTTTCCTAAACTCAAAGTTTGTTTTGCGCATGGAGGTAATTTTTCATTGAAAAGAATACAGTAACCATGGATTGCACAAATTGCAAAATTTGTGCAAAATTTATGTTTATGAACACTCTCTAGATTTATGAAAATGATAAAATACTTAAAGAGGCGTGATACTGAATGCTCATACAGTAAAATCTGTCTAAACTGGAGACTGTTGGTTCTTAAGAAATTGGTCAGAGGCCTGTTCAGTAGAGCAAGTGCTTGTGAACATTTCTATTGGAGGTATAAAGAATTTTGGCAATCACTTGTGAATGTTCGCTCTGTTGAACAAGACTCAAGTTAAAAACATTTTGGATTAGACATTTAAATTTAGATTAAGGGACTTATAGCTTACACTGTTTTTTGCAAGATTTTGAATCATACAATATCTAGATCAGACAAGTTTCACTGTATATAATTATATATTTTTTTTTATAAAAAATGCATGTAATACTATGTACATGTAGACAGAGGGTAAGGGAGAAGAAGAGATTTCTCTGATATTTAAAGATGCTTCCATTTGCAGAGATTATTTACGTTGAAGCTTGTAAATACAGACCTGCCTACCCTTCCACTTTCAGCGTAATTCTTCCGCTTTTTACCACAAAATTATGCTATTACGCCACTTATATTAATTTTACGTTTTTGATATTTTGGTTTAAAATCCATTATGATCGTCTGAATTTAGACTCAAAGTTCAACCTGCTGAAATAAAATGTTATCAAAAGAAACCAGTTCAGTAACGTACGTAATATACCTAGTATGTAGTTATATGTTAACTGGCGAAGAACACGAGAAGGCCCTACTTATATTAACTATTAAATGATATTGCAATAAGTACAGTCATTTCTATGCTCAATTTAGTTTATTTTAACATGCTTAGAACCAGATAGAGAAATTCGAGTGTTAAAAATATATAATACAGTGTTATTATGTACCATTTGTGTAAACATGCAAACGCAAGCCTTCAATTATGTGATTTGATGCAAATTGAGCAAATGCTGCAATAAAGGTGTGCGGTTGATTTGTGTTTAATATAGGATACAGGTATTTTACAGCCAGTAGATGATTTGAAAAAGAAAATGTTGTGACAGCTTTGTTTGGTAAAGTATAATTTCTGTTGCTTTGAAAGAAAAAAAAAGAATTGTAATTAAACAACAAAATAGGAAAACACGATTGATTACGCTTTTACCTCTAAAATTCCACCAAAAATTTACTGAAATTACACCCTTGCAGTGAAAAGGGTAGGCAGGTCTGTAAATATAAAATGCAAATCGCTACAACTCGTGTTCAACTTTGTATTCATAGTAAGACTGTTTTTTTTTTTTATTTACAGGAGGGGCTTTTCCATTCACAGTGGGTCGTATAGAACATGGTTATAATGTCCGTCCAGATCTTTGTGCCACAGACTGCAAAACAAACCCTCGTAAATTCCTTGGCCAGTTCTACACAGATGCCCTTGTCCATGATGCCAAAGCTCTGGAACTACTTATTGATGTTATAGGCAAGGTATCAACTTTTATGCCCCCCTTCGAAGAAGGGAGGGCATATTGCTTTAATTGCTGCTGTCTGTCTGTTGTTCCACTGAGTTTCCGTTCATTTTTCTTCGCAATCGTAACACATACATATATGAAATTTGGGATACAAATTTATCAGATGAACATCCAGGTCAAGTTCTTTTTAGGTACATGTACAATCACACCATTTCTGACAGATTCAGGCTTTGGACTTGGAAAAATTCCAATTTGGGGGAGGGGGGCATAAGAGTTTTACAAACATCTCTTGTTTATTGTTGAATTTGATTTTGTTTTTTTTAGTAGTTTAACCATACATATATTTACAGTGGACCTTCAGATATCCGGACGCCAGATATCCGGATGCCTCAGTATCCGGACGCCAGATATCCGGATGCTTCAGTATCCGGACGATTTTTCATCGGAACAGAATTTTTAAATGTTATATTGTCTTGTTTAACTGGTGATTCAGGTATCCGGACGCTTCACATATCCGGACAAGTTGACTGGGAACCAAAGCGTCCGGATAAATGAGGGTCCACTGTACTTATTAATTGTAAAACCTAGAAGCATTAAGTCTTGCCATTCAGTCTCAGGTTTCCACCACTGTTTTTTTTGAAGGATCGAGTTATAATGGGATCAGACTACCCCTTTCCTCTTGGTGAGCACCACCCAGGAAAATTAATTGAATCTTCGGAGTTTGAACAGAGTCTTAAGGTATACCTTTATGGTTTTGTATACTGTATGTGCATGTATTTCTAATTATTTCTAGGAATTAATTTTTGCATAATTTCACAAAAAGCATTAAAATCATGAAACAAACTTACAGGCTTTTATTAGATGGTGATGAAGTACATGTTAATTTTCTTGACCAACTGTCCAATTTTGAATTATTATTCCCGTAATTTGCTGTTCAATAGCCATTTTGCAAAAAAAAAGTACTTGCAAAATGTAAGGCATCTACAGTATTACATTAAAATTTGACCAAAGCATTTATGAATTTTATTAACTACTGAATGAAATAATAATTCTAGAATTACAGGTCAGTTTTAGAAATTTTTTCTGCTGCTCTGCATAAATTATTAAGTTCGTTTAATCAAAGAATTAATGCAGACAGACTAAAAATGTTTTAAATGTTTTAAATTAAATGGGGAAGGGGGGGGGTGATCATTTTGTGACCTCAGTGTTCACATTACCCTCTACCTCTAGTTTAATTTTGGTTATCTAAATATACCAAAAATATGTCATATATAACTTAAAATATTTTTTGAGAATTCTTTCAATTTTTGCAGAATTTTTTTTTTCTTATCTGTCCTTTAACAGGTTAAAAAGAAAACTATTTTAAGCCTCTGTTGAACAGACCTCTTACAAGGTTGGGGTTTCTGTCCTTCTGTCCATTATTATAGCTAACCTTTGGTAAATAATCTTGTTGAATAAGCTTGTTGAAAGCTTGAACCTGGCATTTGACCAACATTTGAAAAAAATTTAAATCCTAATCTTGTTTCGCCACACGGGGGCCTCAAAGAGAAACACATCTTAATGACATACGTCCGACTTACTTCTGGAGTTGAATCATTTTCATAATTTTTAATGGGAACCAAACTACACATGTAGTTTGATTACCATTATCTGCTTATGCAGTATTCTGAAAAAAAATAAAGCGTAACGGGTTTCCCAGCATTTGAAATTTTACTGTGTTGCAGACTTCACGGGATCAAAAATGCAGCTAGCAATTATACAGTATCATGGAAGAGTGAAAGAGAATTACATTTTTTAGCTCACCTCAACGAAGTTGGGGGAGCTGATGTAATACCCTCGGCGTCGGTGTCGGTGTCGGCGTCGGCGTCCCGGGTTAAGGTTAAATTTTTCTGAGCAGTTTTCTTTTTAAGTACTTCAATGCCCTATATTGATTAGACATGCATGGAAGATGGTTCTAGTGTGTTTCATTGTACCAGTCAAAGTTTCAGATGCTGCAATTTTAGCAAAGGAATGACAAGGTTAATGTTTTTGGAGCAGGTTAACATTTTTGGTGCAGTTTTTGGTGTAGGTTTCATTTCCAAGTAACTATAAGCCCTATGTTAACCAAACTTGCATGGATGATACATCTAAGGATGCATACTACCAGGCTTGCTTCGGATGCTGAATCTGACTTACTTTTTCCGGTAGAGCGAACAGGTTAAAGTTATTTGGTGCAGGTTTCATTTCCAAGTATCTGTAAGTCCTATGTTGACCAAACTTGCATGGATAATACATCTAAGGATGGATACAACCAGGCTTGCTTCGGATGCTGAATCTGACCTACATTTTCCGGTTGAGTGAACAGGTTAGAGTTTTTGGTGCAGGTTTCATTTCCAAGTATCTGTAAGTCCTATGTTGACCAAACTTGCATGGATGATACATCTAAGGATGGATACTACCAGGCTTGCTTCGGATGCTGAATCTGACCTACATTTTCCGGTTGAGTGAACAGGTTAAAGTTTTTGGTGCAGATTTCATTTCCAAGTAACTATAAGCCCTATGTTGACCAAACTTGCATGGATGATACATCTAAGGATGGATACTACCGGGCTTGCTTCGGATGCTGAATCTGACCTACATTTTCCAGTTGAGTGAACAGGTTAAAGTGTTTGGAGCAGGTTTCATTTGCAAGTAACTTTAAGCCCTATGTTGACCAAACTTGCATGGATGATAAATCTAAGGATGCACACTACCGAACTTGCTTCGGATGCTGAATCTGACCTACATTTTCCGGTTGAGTGAACAAGTAAAAGTTTTTGGTGCAGGTTTCATTTCCAAGTAACTATGAGTTCTTTAATGACCAATCTTGCATGGATGATACATCTTAGGATGCATACTACCAAGCTTGCTTCGGATGCTGAATCTGACCTACATTTTGTGGATGAGTGAAAATGTTAGTTTTTGATGTATGTTTCATTTCCAATTAACTACATGTATGAGCCTTATAATGTGCAAACTTGCATGGACAATACATCTAAGGATGGATACTACCGGGCTTGCTTCGGATGCTGAATTCGACATATATATTTTTCAGATAATAGACCAGGTTAAAGTTATGGTTGCAGGTCTTTTACCAAAAAACTTTAAGGCTTTTATAACATTGTATAAACCAAACTTGCACAAATGTTGCATCAAGAGATGAAAACTCAAATTTGCTTTAGATGCTGAATTACATTTTCATGAAGAAGAACTACTTTCAATTTTTTATGTTGGTCTACTTCAAAGTATCAGATCAAAATTGCTTAGATATTTTCATTTTTGGAATGTACATTTTTTGTTGGTTAATTGTGTGACTTTGCCTTATTTAAAGACAACATTCGTTGAGGTGAGCTCTGTAATCTCTGATTACCTATGTTTTGTCTTTGTTCCTTCATGCATGCAGTCAAGGGAGATAATAATTGATTATGTAAGGTGAAGCAAGACTGAGTATCCTAATTAAGAGATTATTATGTGCACCTCCTTAAGAATTAAAAGATGGTATATTTTTTTGATAAAAGATTCTGTTAGAGAGAATTTAACTCCTGTGTTGAAGCCAACACAGTAAAATTGCTCATGGAGAACCCTGCATAATAAAGCAGTGTCTAAACAGAGTTGACATATTTTGTTTCTTCAGGAAAAATTATTGGTAAACAACGCCTGTGAATTCTTAGGACTAGATAAAGCAGTATTTGGATAAAGTCGAGGAAAGGAAGAAATTATACCCGGTATTCCCGATGCAGGTGAAAGTAGTGACATAATACCAATGATACAATTTTATTTCATGACACATTCCGTTTTGCATTCTATGAAACAAGGTTCGTGTGAATTACTTCCGAAATGTTATATGTACATTTTTATTGTATACTAGTAAGCAGTATGTACATTTGAATTTATTCAGTGAAGTTCAGTTTTCAATTCACAGAAGTTTTATTTTTGAATTGTTTAATGTATATTTTATTTTATATGGGTATAACCATGAAAAATAATAATGAAAAAAATGGTTGATAATTTTGTATGATAAAACAGTCATAATAAAATCCCAAAGTGCCAACTGTCTTCATATTGACAATCTGAAAATAATTATGTTCCTCACCATGCTCACTAGTCTGCAGTGTTTGTTTGAAAGTTTTATTTTAAAAATTAGGATCCCACCTCTGATGTTTTAGAAGTCCGTGATTGCTCCATTCTTGATTTGTATTCTTTGGATGGACTATTGAGCTTCAATACTGTCTCCATATATTTCACTTAATGAGACCATGTTAAAAGTAATAATAGCTTGTCCTCTCTCAGCTCAAGGTTAAGACATTGGTAAGTAAGGGAATTTTTTATTAGAAAATTTCAACGGGATGAGAAAATTCAACAATGAAAAGAGAGAAACGCCGTCTTTTTGAGATTTTGAAAGATTTTGAATCGGGCCATTTTTAGCAAGTTGTTGGAGAGAGAGAGCAAATAAACATATAATTAGATGACCATACTTTTGTTATACAATCTGTTCTATATCATATAGTTTTTGTACTATGACGTATGTTATGCATATTTTCCAAAAAAAAAAAAAAAAAAAGAGAGAAAAGAAAGCTGTCGATGAGGAATAATCTTTGATACCGTTGAAGTTAACCGCAATTTCTGGTTGCTATAAGTCACGGTCACCATGTTACCATACCCTAAGATCTAACTAAAAATTGCATTTTTGAACATTTCCAGAGCTCAAAGATTAATGTTTGAAACATTGCAGAGAAGTGATAATGACCGATTACTTAATTCAAAATGATGGTTTGGTCTCTCATATGCATGGTAGATATATTTAAACAAATGAAATATTACGTAGTTATCTTACTTAAGAAACAAAAATAAATATCGCAAGTTTTTTTTTTACATTTAAAAAGGGCGGGTGAAAATGAAGAATCCAAGTGCTACATAGGAATATAAAGGAAAAAAAAATTTTTTTCTCGAGAGGAGAAAATTCATGATTAGTCATATTGATATTGAGGCTTCCACGGGAATTGTAGAATCAAACTAGCTACACGCACCCCCCTTTTTTTTTGGGGGGGGGGGGGTATCAACTGCAACAAGAATCAAGTGTCTGTTTAAATCTTAAAGTTACATGATATATGAAATTAAAGACATCGATCTGGAAAAAAAATATGCGCAAATTAAACTGCTCTGAGGTTTTCGGTGTTTAAACATCATGTTTTGAACTTCAAAGGCTTATTATCAATTTTGGATAGGGTTTGTTATTTTAAACCCGTAATGCCTTGACTGAAATTTAACTTAAATGAGAAAGTGAATTTTGCGCTTTGATAGATAAGCTAAGGATCTGTGATGAATCATTTAAATAGTACAAATAACGTATGAGCATAAGTTTTAGCGAGTATTTAATTTTGGCATTATTAGCGAGGGTGCCAAGATCGCTAAAATTAAATATCGCTGAAAATTATTTGAACTTTATTTGTAATAGCTTTTTTAGTGAGCTTTTAAAATTACATCTCGCTAAAAATATAATACCAATTCTTAAGGACGAATCGCTAAATGTGCCGTCTCTGTAAAATTTCCACTTATAGGCTAATATGCAGGACAAACCGCAGATCCCTCGGCAACACCAGAGGTTAATCAAGGTACCGAGGAGAAGTAAGAATACAACATCACTTTTCTCTTACATACTGTGGTTCCATTAATTTTGCTGGCATCAATTTTCGTATATTTTGTAAAACAGACATTTTCGAGGATACGTACTTTCTTGGACAAAAGCTTTGCCTATATACAAATAAACAACAAATTTCTTAATTCAATCAACATTCAAATTCGTGGATCTGCTCAACAACGAAATCCTCGAAATTTGGTGTTCAACAAATATTGATAAAATCACAGTTTCTAAATATGCAAATATGGTTGATTGATATCTTTAAAAAAAAAAGAAAAACAACAAAATTTAGGTACTTATGTCGTTTTCTGTATGCTAGAGAATTCAACACACTCCACAAAATCCAAAACAAAGATATTTTTTGGACAACATACAGTTTATTTAAAATGAAGTTAAAGCATCTCAAATCCATTAGCTAAAATTAGCAATTATAATTCAATTTAAACAATATAGACGTGACTAGAAAAGATAGAAGTAATTTGCAAAGAATAAGAATTAATGCCCCTTTCTTTAAAGATCGTCAACATACGGTACATAGTAGATATAAATTATCAAGCATATTCAATTATAGAGCATATTTGTACGATGTACATTAGTAACTGCTAAATCCAGTGCAAGTTAGTACTCAGAGTTTTGTCAAACTTGAGTAACACAAGGCATCCAGATGCATCTAAAATAATAATAACTAGAAACTCTTTGCGAGCAACGAGAGGTCTTCCGTCCGAATAACCATCTTCATGTGATATCCTATGCATATAAAATTACAATTATTACAGTTAATCATTGAGTTAAATGCTGACTGACGTTTTTCATACTAATTGGTAGTCCATTATTTAAGCACAGAATTGACGACGGATTTTTCCGTTATTTCTTGATCATATCAAGGAGCACACGGCGGGTGTGACCGGTAGGCAGGGGATGCTCACTCCTCCATGATACCTGATCCCACCTCTGATGCATTGGAGGTCCTTGTTTGCTTTACTCCATTTTGCATCGCTTTATGGACGTTTATATTGAATACTGTTCGTTATATCCATATCCTTCATGTGATCATACTAAAAACACCTTAAAATGTAACACGGGTCTTTCAGAAAGGCATGGATTTTAAATATTTATTTAAAAATAATTAAAATTGAAAATAGCACAGCATTCATTCAAAGAACGCCAAATAACATTTTTGAAGGTCAATACTTTAATTTTTTAAACTTGAAATGAGAAAAATAATGCAGACATAGTCGGGATCACCAGCGCAAATTGATTAGCTATCATCAATATTTTTCTTTTACTCATAACCTGAAATAATAAGCGTTAGGGAATTTTATTCCTTTTTTTAGCTTAGTGTTGAATTATCGAATAAGAGCTAGCTAGCCAAATTTTACTCACGAAGATTCACATACAACTTTGTTACTTGAGTTTTTAAATTAGCTGGTGCGTGTAGCAATGATCTATTACTGAAGAACTGATGATTCTGTTTATTTTTTTTTATTCATCGTGTATTTGATCTTTACTCCTTGCAATTCCAGTTACTGTGAAATCGCAAATCTTCGTGGGTGTTTCATTATCGTTGTTTTCGAGGTATGAAGAGACCCACGAATTCATGTCCACCATGAAATGTAAAATGTTACATACATAACTACTCAACAATTCTTCATCCACGAATTCAAATCCCCACGAACCAAGAGTTTTTACTCAAACCACGAAAATTTGACCCCACGAAAATATGTGATTTTACAGTACATAAAGCAGACATGTTCACGTAATCGTTTTCTGCACTTTTATATATCAGTTACGATAGGCAAGTTACAATGCGCAAATCGTCGCTAGTAAATCTTCGCGACTTTGTTTTCGAATGCACGTTTTATTTGATGGATGTGATAGCTTAAATGAAATTTAAAAATGCATGTTATTGTAATCGGAATTTTAAATATTTTATTCATGACATTGAACATATAACGTATCGTATATGGGCTAATAACACTAAAGTACTGGATTCGCGTAGATTTTGAACACATTTTATTTCCCTGTCATGGTTTTAAGTTTTAGAATGAACGAAAAAAGCTTACAATTTCAATTTATATCTTCTTATTAAAAAAAATATCGATACAATTTTTTTTAAGACGTGTTTCTCCCTTTTTTAGACTGTGAAAATTATTAAAATTTTGGATGTGAATATACTAAGAATCAGAGTTCTCCATCGTTTAAAATTTTACTGTGTTGCGGAGTGTACGCGAATTTCGCGATATTTTTGGCGATCAAAATCACAACTGAATCACTATTCATTAAAGTTACAAAAGAATACATGCATTTTTTTTTAAATCGCTAATTCGTTACACAAATAGTATGGTCGCATATATTGATAAAAGAAAAAAACACGTTCTGAAAAGCAGATAAAATTCTGGCCGATAAAGTAAAACTTCTTAACATTTTTAAAAGTAAATTTGTCTTGATTATTTGACAGTTTTCGTGATCGAATTACCCAATTGCAAAAAAGAAACTTCAGAATAGTAAAATACTTTTAAGAGTTCCTTGAACATGTTGAAAATTTAAGCAATTTATTCATATCAATTAAATGACTTCGGTACGATGTTATGTTTAACTTACAGTGCTAACATAATTCCAGAGCTGTGGCTCTATAGAAAAGACATATTCATATATATACCGGTATATTTTTTGAATAATACAATCTATTTTAATGCAACTGCGAATAAACAGTTACATGGAAGTGTGATAACAAATTATTTGTCTTTGTTCCTTCATGCGTCAAGTCCGGCGAGGGTCTAGGAGATCATTGATTATGCAAGGTAAAGCCCTAGTAATTAAGTGCTCTACCTTTTAGAATTAAAAGACGGTAGAATTTTTTGATTAAAGTTTTAGTATGTGTTTGGATTTTTTAATTATTACAGCTCCAAATGTGTCTGCTAAATGTTTACTGTGTCGCACGTATCAAATTTGAATCGTTACTGTGTCGGAGAAAAGTTTACAGTGTCGGGAGCAACACAGTAAAACAGCTCATGGAGAACCCTGAAGAATACTTTTTATTAATATTATCAAAAAAAAACTTGTGCATACATGTGAATATATTCTTGCAAAGTAAATTTCTACGGTATTTTTCACTACATTTATGGGTAGCTAAGGGCTAGCATGCATAGATACGGCCCCATTATAAATGATGTGATTAATGAAATGTAGTTTCGTGTATTCTTTTTAAAGAAGGTTTTATAAATAAAAATGAGTGATATTTCAAACATGCAACGTCTATGACATCATTATAAGTAGCCAAAATAGGTTAACGTAGTTTTCTTCAAAACGCTTAAAAAGATAGATTACATTTGCAGGCCTAATTTTCAACAGAAATAAAATTTTCTTGTACATTAATATCTTACATTTCATAAATTACATGTTAGATCCACTCGCATACTTGTAGCGAGTATGCGAGCGATTTTAATTAAATTGCACATTTCAGTAAATCTTCACGGTTTAATTTTACAACAATGCAGTATTCAACATTCAGGGATTCCTTCTCTTTATCATCATTTGTACGGCTTTTATCTGTTCACCAGTGTAATACACTGGATACCATGGCTTGTTCCACTCTGCCTTCCCATAAGGCCCCGTCAACATGGCGTCATGGCAATCGTTATACCACCATCCGCCCCCACCGCCATGAGAAACAGCACAGTTACCATGTACCCAGTACTCCTTGTCTCTGTCAGCGGTAGTAAACCTCATTCCGTGTATTCCTCTTAGTGGATTTGAGGGCATCATGGAGTTTCCTATTGTTCAGAATTAAAATATCTTCACAAAGTATTACTTTAAGTGATTTTAACAAAAAAGTATATTGGCTATAATTAACGCTCACCTAAGTAAGTATTGTTCTTGAAAATATTTTTATAGGATTTCCTCGCATACATGTATATTTACGGAAATCTTTGATCACCTTGCTCCTTATATCAACATTTCAAACTTTTAAAACTTAATTTTTTCTTATAATAGAATCCACGCTATTTTGGTAAACACAGCCCGCAAAGTAAATTAATTATATCACACTAGTCAACCATTTTTATAACCCCTTTTAAAATGATAACACCTTACAAAGTTGCAACCATAGATTATTGGTTATTTTCATAGAATAAATACGGACCAAAAACAAAATTAAGAAATTAGAATTTAAACATTCAAGATTTATTACTGTCGATTTTTTTTTTGCAAGTACTGATATATTATCGCAATGGGTATTCAACATCAAAACGCAAAATAATTTTGGCGATTCAAGTTTGATCAAGAGTATTTACAAAGCTTCAGCACGATAGAAGTAACAGCGAGTAATTTTATTTCGCTATAGCAAACTTCTCTCGAAATTACGCGATAATTAATTCCCCGCGCGTAATACCGTACCAGCAGAATTTTTAGCGAGGATTTAATTTTGGCATCATTAGCGGGGGTTCTGAGATCGCTAAAATTAAATATCGCTAAAAATAAACTTTGTTTTTAATTTTTGATAGCTTTTTAGTAAGCATTTTAAAATGGATAAAATTATTTCTCTCTAAAAATAAATTACCATATTTTAAGGACAAATCGCTAAAATTGCGTCTCGTTAAAATTTCCACGTATACGGTACTAGTATTAGGAATTTACAGTACCCAGTGTTCCCGATCCTTCACCAAGAGATATTCTGTACCCATCTGTTTCATTGGAAACAAGGAAATAGTCGTAAATTTCATACAGCTGACTTCCATTTAAGTGTGTTATCATAATGTACAGCAATGAATGGTCGATTGTTGTCAGTTGGTGAATCATTTCATTTCCTATGAAAAGAGGAAGAATTTTTTTTTTATTTTTTGTTAAAATAGTAATATAAAGACTTTTTGAATTTATTAACTATAATTATTTTTTATGGTGCTTTACTGATTTTTTCCCCTACTATGTATTTTTTTTAGGTTTAGGTACTCCCTCCAATTTTAGACTTCCCTAAGGTATGAAATATTAAAAAAAATAATAATAATGTGCTTGTGATTAGAGTTGTTTTTAAAAACTCATACAACGATAATTGATTTCATATACCCTTTAACTAGTATTTAGTAAAAGCCCAATCTGATAAAAATCAGAACTTTGTTACGCTCCTTGATCAGAATTTCGAAAGCGTACGTTACAAAGATATGATTTTATATTGATAAAAGATCAAAGTCTGTACAGCAAAACTCTTTTAGGTTTAGTGCGAACATGGTTATTGCGAATTTACGGATATAGCGAAGTCATCTTGGATCCCCAGCTATATAAATTTAATGTCTTTCTTATACGGTTATAACGAATTACGGATATAGCGAATTAATTTCACAGGTCAAATGACTTCGTTATAACCGAGTTTTACTGTATATCTTATGACATACCAATCCAATACTCAGAAATGTCACCAAACCCTTCCTTATATTCAGTCCAGTTCCTAGCGAAGTTCACAGATCCATCGTGCCTTTTCAGAATAACCTACATATTGAGATGTAAGACAGGGGATTAATAATAGATAATAAGTGACAAAGACATTGCTATAAGAATGAGACGTAAAAAGCTTAAGATGATAATGATAATGATAATCGATGTTTAGCCTAAAATGAATTATCATATTTCAAAATAGGCCTTAAACTGTACCAAGATAATAAATTGATGTTGAAATATCATAATTATAGAAATGGCATACATGTAACTAAAAAGCACGGATCAAAATGCAAGTAAATTCATTTCGATGATAGACATCCATATAAATTAACTATATGTTTGATATCTTATACATGTAATATGTTGGTAGACAGGGAGACGGTAAGTCATAAAAACAAAAGATAAATACATGTAGGAGCAACTTATTTGTTTGTAGACTAAAAAATTTCTTACAGTCCACGCGCCGCCTGCCGTCTCCATATCACAGTAAACCAGGCGAGCCTCATCGCCCCCAGGACAAATCGTATAATTTCCAGAGGATAGCGTTCGGTTTTCGAATAGCAGTTGGAGACAATCAGGCATTATTTTTCGACCCGATTTGCTGATACATCTTGAGGCTGGGAAGAAAGAAAAAAAGATATTGTTATTTTGAAGTATATCACTGAGCTTTGCAGCCTTAGGAGTTTGTCTCAGAAAAGAGAAGACTAAAACAGAAAAAAAAAAATCACAAGGAGGGATTGAACATTTCATGAACGATTGTATCTTCTAAAATTGGGTGTTTTCACGTAAAGAAAAATTAACATTTAACATCAAGTATATAAAAACTTCTGCAAAGTCAAAAAATAAAATGCTTAAACATACATCAGGTGAAATATACCTCTGCTCCAAATTTCACAATTTTTTTAAAAATTCTAAACATAAATTTTCATCAGCAACAATAACATTTAATTCGAATAGAAAATACTTTGAAGTAAAGAGCATTGCTTACTTTTTCAAAAATGAATACTATTTCAGATCATGATATGAAAAAAAAATTGATATGATAAATAGAAAAATATATATTTTTTTTGTATCACAATAAAATAAAAATTATGAGGTAGGCCTATATTTAAGAAATAAGGTATCATTTTTTGAGTTTTATTGAGATGTAAAACGGGTTGGTCACGTGATCAAATCCCATAAAGCCCGAAGGGCTTTATGGAAGATTTGATCATGTGCCAACCCGTTTTACATCTCAATAAAACTCAAAAAATGATACCTTATTACTTATATTTACATTTGTGACTTATTCATACTTTATATTTGCCTGATTGTTACTTTTAACGTGTGAAATGCGTTAATTTTTCAAACCCAACGGCATGTATGTAATCCACTAAACGCGCGTCAACCATTTATGACGTCACAAAGAAATTACGTCGAACGTTTATCCAAACGCACATCTATGACCTCTTGACCCCATACCTGTATTTACACAGTTATAAAAACGCTTGCCTCCAGTAGTGTTATATAAAGGAAAACATTTGCAAATGTAAATATATAGAAATATTATTTACTCTCATATCCATTTAATTCTCATTAGAAGCATACCAAAGCGTTGCTTTTTAAATCAGAATCTCAAATTGTATTCTGTGCTTGTAAAATAAATCGCATACATCAACAAGAGTTATCTTTCCATTTTCGCTCTTTCAAATATTTTTTTTTTTTTTTTTTTTTGTGAAACAAAATATTATTTTAATGTTTATAAACAATTGGGCATCTGAATTTTCTGTAACAAATGACTTTACGTTAAGACATAGAAATTTCTCAATTTACATTGTTTAAAGGAACTGATTACATTGTATAAATGTTTTAGGTAAAATGTTATAAATAATTAATGAAAATATTGGCAATAGATATTAGAACTCAACATCTGAACGATAAGATGAATTCGACGGACTTGATTATAAAATGGTCCTTATGAATGAAATCTAAAAGATCTTACATGACGATTCATTGAATTTCATTGAAAAATGTTTTTAGAAAGTTATCTCTCTGATCAGATGGATATTACACTTTAAACAATATTGCTAAAATCTGCTCGAAAATGGCTTTGAAATATACCAGACATAGACAAAGAGGAATGAAATTTAATCAAAAAACATTTAACTGTTCAAAATTTTGCCAACGAGAAGATATCTTAATAACTGCAAAAAGATAATTCTTATGAAATGAAAATAAATACAAAACTAAAGAAATAGATAAAAAACTCTTATAAAATTGTATTTGTATGAGGTCGTCTGAACTTTGTATAACTCGAAAAATAAATAGACAATTTTGTGTGTAAATTCCGGATTTGTTTTCGTTCAAGATAGAAGATTAATGTTGAAAAATTATTATAAATATTGAGTGAGGAAGGGGATGGGAGTTTGTTTCGTTTTTTTTTTCGAGCATACATTTCGCAAGATCCTAAAAGTAAAATCGCATTAACCGGGGAACCTGAAGAAAGAATGGAGGGAAATAATGTTGTTTTACAGAATGGAGTTAATTCATGACAAAGATTTTATTTTTCCTTGGTGGTTTATACTATCTCAAGTTCAAGTTCTTCATACGACACATCAGATTGCATAATTATAACAATAACTTAACATACATACAATACATACAATAATATATGACAATATGAGAATGAGCATAATGAATAAATAGCAAGTAAACTATGTAGGACGTGTTTTAACCGGCATTTGTATTTATGAAGCAATTAAAAATTACATATGATTCATTCTTCTAAACATGTTAAAGGAAACTGGATATAAATATCTTCTAAGATTACAAAGTTCCTTAATACTTTGTACACTTAGAAGTTGAATTAATTTCCAAACACTTCGGAATCATTTCTTATAAAATATTTTTTTTTCAAATGTTTCCATCAAATATTTCTCTATGTTGTACATATAAGACTTAGTTTGGTAACGATTCTCTAACCTTGAAACGTAATGCTTGTATCTTCCATCAATTTTTCCACTTGTAATTTGAATGAATTATTTTTTCTGCTAATAATCGAAAAAAATCAAATTCTAATATTTTTTTAGAATTTGATTTCAATCCCGATCCGCTTTTTAATTCGGAAAATAAAGATAAACAATATGCTGCCATAAATAACGTACTTTTGATGATAAATACATGTATAGCGTAGTACAACTTCCTATATCTATTATAACATGTGCTAGATAGTAATTATGCACTAAGAATACCAATTGAAGGACAAAATTCTACTTAGAATTCATTAAACTAAACAGAGTGCATTAACATATATTCTAATAACACATAATATACTGAACAATAATGCTGTCTCTTTATAAAAAAAATAGTTATTTAAAATCGTACTACATGTAACACCTTTAAAACGTTTAATCTCTCCGGTCCACTAGCTCAGGCATCGGACTAGTCAAACAGATTCTTGTTCAATGCAAATATTTAGTTTTTGGCTAAAATTAAAAACAACTTTAGCCAAAATAGTACTGACCCTCCATAAAAAAATCACAGAAACAAAAAGAAAGAGGTCATGAATATTATCTGCTTTCTTTTTAATCAAATTTAATTAATTGTAATGAATGGATAATTATCAGAAGTACTTACAGTCCCGTTTTCTAGAATATTTCCATTCTTCAGCTGTTTTTGTGTCAGAGGTTTCAAGACATGTTTCATATACATGACATTTATGGTCTTTCTCGTTGTATCCAAAACACGTACAATTCTCTTGGCACCAAAGCGCGCAAATGATTAGAGAATATGCTGCAAAAATATAACCATCAGTATTGTTCTTTAGACATGTAGTATCAAGTTCCTGAAAAACTGAATAGCGCTGTGATAATATGGCGGGAGTATCCATTACAAAGCAATTTCATATTAGAAGGAGCAAGATTCCTTTGAAAGCTCTTCGGAGAATGTCGTGTGAAGATTACTTTGAAATCGATTGTCACAGTGTTTAAATGTCTCATTTTGTCTTCAAACCGTACGACTTGTAACTTTCTATAAATATTGATACAAAACAGATAAAAGTTATCATTATTATTTAATATGTAATAATGTCTATAAAACAGCATTCTTATATTTAAAAAAGCACTTTTTTTGCTTTTATTAGTGTTTTACAAGGAATATTTGAAAAAATAATGAATATTTATTCGCTGTATTTTATTCAACAATTATGTATCATAGATTGATCGAGACAGCTTATCACAATTGTCCTTCAAAATATTTCCCTTCACCCTCTACACTTTTTTGCAGTCTTTGAATCCATTTTGACATTCCGGTTTATAGGCCGAGATTTACACTAGACAAAATTA